GAATGCTTTCTTTTTTTTTTTCTATTTTGTTCTTCTCTCCCCATCTGCGGTGAGAAAATGTATAATTTCTTCCCTCAAAATAATGTTATTTCATTTATGGCAGATTTTATTTACTTACGGACATGTATATACCACAAATATAATGGTTCTTACGTAACATGCAACTATTACACTAGGTGGTAGGTGCTGTCAGAATTATTTTATTGCTGCGATTACTCGGGAAAATTGTAGCCATGATCATGGCTGATGGGTTATGAATCAGAAATGTAATTTTTATATTGAAGACTTATATCCTTATTCATTAAGATGTGTTTCTATTAATTAATCAAATTTTTATTTAAAATTTTGATAAATGAAAAATATATAGTTATGTGTATATAATTGTAACTGCACTAATTTTATTAATATTTTTTTTAAAATTTACTTAAAATATGAGTTCATTTGCAGATTTGTGAAATTTTCTTGTTAAGACTATATATGGAAGAAATGCATTGTTTTCTAAAATTCATTTTGAATTTTGTTTCTATTTGACATACTTCAAATGTTTGTGTCGATATAAGAAGTCAGCAAATCAATAAATTTTGTTCATACTTATTTTTGTAACGCATACAAATAAGCATTTTATTTAAAAAAAAGAAAAAACCCTCAGAGCTCAACGAAAATATATGATTGTTCTTACCACTCTTAGAAAAAGAAATGTTTGATTTTCTTAAGAAGAGAATTTATAGTGTGGCCTCAGTTGATGTTAGCTTCTATCTCCAACAAATATAAATATATGTATACATATACGTAACTTGTATCCTACACATTCAACAATTCTTGCAGACACATAAAAGTTCTTTTTCTTTGTTGGTATTTGTTAGTTAAAGATGTATCTTCTCCAACCGAAACTTTCCTTGCACTTCCCGCAAAATTTCAAATGTTTTTCTTCCCAAAAAAAAAAATTATCTCATCTTTCTTCCTCTTCATCCTTTTTGAATCTGCACACAACAAAAGATGACACCAACTCCTCACCCTCCAACCTTACCATACTCAACCTCTCTCCCAATTAAAGCTCTGGTTTTGATCATATAAACCCATCAACCTCACACTTGATCAGATGCAGTGAGCAAGTCCATCACCCAAAATGATGCAATCTGGGATTCCCATCTGCAACACCTGTGGTGATCAAGTTGGGTTCAATCCCAATGGTGACCTCTTTGTGGCTTGCCATCAATGTAATTTCCCTATTTGCAAATCTTGCCTTGATTACCAAATTAACAATGGCCGTAACGCTTGCCTGCGCTGTGCTTCTCCCTTTCATGGTATTTTTATTTTCCCATCTCTGCAGCTTCTTTTCTTAGTGCCTCTTAATCTTCTTCTTCATGCCTTGCCCTTCTATTGATTGCATGCTTGTGGACTTTCAGACGACTTGTTGGATCAATTTGAGCCAAAGGCATCCGGAAACCAACCAACAGTCTCTGCCCATCTCTCTACTCCCCAGGTATGCTTATTATCCTGCAATTCTCTTCCCATACAATATTATTTCTGATTTCTAAGCCCCCAGAAAATATAATCAAAATGCAGTGTAAAATGAGTTATTTCCTTCTAGTTGAAGTTTTTTATTTAATATGATATTGTAGCTTTAGTTTATGCAAATTTAGTACTCTAATCTGTTAAGTGCTCCAGTTACTTACCTATCAGTGGAGTGTTAAGATGCAATATAAACATAAATTAAGCTCATATTATGTAAACCTAATATTCTGGCATGTGAAGTACTCTAGTGGTCATGTATAATTCTATTTGTGCCTTAAAGGAGTGTGAAGAGATATAATACAAATAATAAATTGACATATTCACTGCTAAGGAAAAGAAAAAAACTTATCATAAGTAATTAATTGATATCAGTAATTTCCTACATTGCTTGAAACCTGATGACATTAAAGCTTCTCTAACTTGATCATGGTTTCTTCAGGATGCCGGAATTCATGCCAGACATATCAGCAGTGTGTCCACCGTGGATAGTGGTGAGTGGCTTTCTTTATATGCGTCTTAGTAGCTATCTTAAATTAACTAGAACCATCACTAACCATTTTGTTTCAAATTTTCATGAAGAATTAAATGATGAATCCGGGAATCCAATCTGGAAGAATAGAGTGGAAAGTTGGAAGGACAAGAAGAGCAAGAAGAAAAAGGCTGAGGCTAAGGTTGAACAAGAGGCCCAGGTTCCACCTGAACAGCATATAGAAGAGATGCCGTAAGCTTTTTCACTGACCTTTCAAATAGTAAATAAAAGTTACACATGGAAGGCGTAGTGGTCTAGAATCTAATTTGTGTAGATCTTAAGAAAATTTTAAATAGTAAATAAATTTTTTTAATACGTTAAAAGAGATCAGTTATTTTCGCATTTACTTAAATCTTAATGTACTAATATGGGATTGCCTGAGTACTAATGGAACTTTTCGGGTCAGAACATTTAGTGCCTAAATGACTTGTAAGGGCCTCAATCAGAGGGTTCCTACCTTTTGTAGCACCCAAGGTGGTGCTTCAATAAGTGTCTCAAAATGTTTTCTTTGCATTTGCAAAATTCATGCGGGTTTGAATTTATTCTATTTATGTCTGAATCTAAATTGCTTTGGTGTCACTGAAAGAAACGTAATTGGTTTTGCAGGTCTGTAGAGCTAGCAGAACCGCTTTCGACTGTGGTTCCACTCCCACGGAACAGGCTTACACCATATAGATTTGTGATCATTATGAGATTGATCATTCTTGGTTTTTTCTTTCACTACCGAGTAACGAATCCTGTTAATAGTGCTTATGGTCTGTGGCTCACCTCTGTCATATGTGAGATCTGGTTTGCTTTTTCATGGGTGTTGGATCAGTTCCCTAAATGGACTCCAATAAATAGGGAAACATTCATAGACAGGCTATCTGCAAGGTACAAATCTTTCTCCTATTAAACTTACGAGCTACCAATGTGATAAAATGTACATTTTTTAAGAAAGAAAAAATGCAAAAACTGATATTTAAGTATCTGAAATGGCTTCATGTCCCATTCCAGGTATGAAAGAGAAGGCGAACCCTCTCAGCTTGCTGCTGTGGACTTCTTCGTGAGTACAGTTGATCCATTGAAAGAACCGCCATTGATCACTGCAAACACTGTGCTTTCCATCCTTGCTCTGGACTACCCTGTAGAGAAAGTCTCCTGTTATGTATCTGATGATGGTGCTTCAATGCTTACATTTGAATCTCTCGCAGAGACAGCTGATTTTGCCAGGAAATGGGTGCCATTCTGCAAAAAGTTCTCCATTGAACCTCGAGCTCCAGAATTTTACTTCTCGCAGAAGATTGATTACTTGAAGGATAAAGTTCAACCTTCTTTTGTGAAGGAACGCAGGGCAATGAAAGTAATCACTTGAGTTTCTTATACTTGATTCGATAAGTCTGTAATATTTAGTATCAGTCATATGATAGATACATTTTCATTGGTTGCAGAGAGACTATGAGGAGTTTAAAATTCGAATAAATGCTTTGGTAGCAAAGGCTCAAAAGACACCTGAAGAAGGATGGACTATGCAGGATGGAACACCTTGGCCAGGAAATAACACTCGTGACCACCCTGGCATGATTCAAGTTAAATCATCCAGTGCTTTTTAGAATTAATGCTTTTGAATTCTAAATTTCAGTGAATTTTTTTCTTTCATTAAATTAGTTTTGATAATATATAACAAGTCACTTCTACTAGCTTAAGCTTTGGGAGAATTTAATTTATGTACTTGCAGAAATTTCCCTTGTCCAGAATTTGATTTATAACATAAGTTGTCTCTTCCAGGTATTCCTCGGAAGTAGTGGAGCTCATGATATTGAAGGAAATGAACTTTCACGATTAGTTTATGTGTCCAGAGAGAAGAGACCAGGCTACCAACACCACAAAAAGGCTGGTGCTGAAAACGCTTTGGTATGTATATGAATGAACAGACTATTTGGTTCATGAAGACTTAAGTCTAGAACACTTAGAATGACTGGTTTTCTACAGGTGAGGGTGTCTGCAATTCTTACAAATGCTCCCTTCATCCTTAATCTTGATTGTGATCACTATGTTAACAACAGCAAGGCTGTGAGGGAGGCAATGTGCTTCCTGATGGATCCACTAGTTGGTCAAGACGTGTGTTATGTTCAGTTTCCTCAGAGATTTGACGGAATAGATAGAAGTGATCGTTATGCCAACCGTAACACAGTTTTCTTTGATGTAAGATAATTTCATAGTCATGATGTCATTCCATTGCTGCACAAGGCATCTAACGGGAAAGCTTTAAATTATGTACTCAGATCAACATGAAAGGGCTTGATGGCATTCAGGGACCTGTTTATGTGGGGACAGGTACTGTTTTCAATAGACAGGCACTATATGGCTATGGACCTCCCTCTATGCCCAGATTACCCAAGTCTTCATCATGTTGTTCGTGGTGTTGCTGCTGCCCCTCCAAGAAGACAAATAAAGATGCCTCAGAGGCATACCGTGATGCAAAAAGAGAAGAACTTGATGCTGCCATCTTTAACCTCAGGGAGATTGACAGTAAGTAAAACATTTGGGCGAATAGAAGTTTATGTTTCATATTTCTTAAGGTATGTCTTGGCTTTGATGATGCAGACTATGATGAGTACGAAAGGTCAATGCTGATATCCCAGATGAGTTTTGAGAAAACCTTTGGCTTGTCTTCAGTCTTCATTGAATCTACCTTGATGGAGAATGGAGGAGTAGCTGAGTCTGCCAACCCATCAATGCTTATCAAGGAAGCAATTCATGTCATTAGCTGTGGGTACGAGGAGAAGACAGAATGGGGAAAAGAGGTGGCTTACAACTTTGATGTTCTTCCTCTAATTTTCAACTTTTATGAGATTTTACTCAGATTTCTGGGTTGTTTTTTGTTAGATTGGTTGGATATACGGGTCGGTGACGGAAGACATCTTAACAGGTTTCAAGATGCACTGCAGAGGATGGAGGTCAATTTACTGCATGCCTTTGAGGCCTGCATTCAAAGGGTCTGCACCAATCAACCTTTCTGATCGTCTCCACCAGGTTCTCCGGTGGGCTCTTGGGTCAGTAGAAATTTTTCTGAGCAGACATTGTCCCCTTTGGTATGGATTTGGAGGAGGCCGCCTCAAGTGGCTTCAGAGAATGGCATATATAAACACCATTGTATATCCTTTCACTTCCCTCCCTCTTATTGCTTATTGCTCATTACCAGCAATTTGCCTTCTAACTGGAAAATTCATCATACCAACGGTAAATTTTCTCATCAAACTCCTTTACTCGAACAAAGTGAAATAAACTTTTTTCTTTTAACTCAACTTACTACTTTGTCCAGCTCTCAAATTTAGCCAGTGTCCTCTTTCTGGGACTCTTCATCTCCATCATCGTTACCAGTGTCATGGAGTTGCGGTGGAGTGGTGTGAGCATCGAGGACTTGTGGCGTAACGAGCAATTCTGGGTGATTGGAGGCGTTTCAGCCCACCTCTTTGCAGTCTTCCAAGGCTTCCTGAAAATGTTAGCTGGTCTGGACACCAACTTCACTGTCACAGCAAAAGCAGCAGATGACGCTGAGTTTGGCGAACTCTACATTGTCAAATGGACAACACTTCTGATTCCCCCAACAACCCTTCTCATTGTCAACCTTGTAGGCGTGGTTGCCGGATTCTCAGACGCATTAAACAAAGGATACGAAGCTTGGGGACCGCTTTTTGGCAAAGTGTTCTTCTCCTTCTGGGTCATTTTTCATCTTTACCCATTCCTCAAAGGTCTGATGGGTCGCCAAAACAGAACTCCCACCATTGTTGTGTTATGGTCAGTGCTCTTGGCATCTGTTTTCTCACTTGTCTGGGTCAAGATCAATCCCTTCGTCAACAATCCAGACAGCTCAACCATAGCTCAGACCTGCATTTCTATTGACTGCTAGCTACTTATACTGCCAATTACTATTCCATTCAACCCACATATGTTTGTGCTTCTGCAATATCAACACTTTTGGATATATATATATATACGTATGTATATAATTCATAGTGTTAATTAAAGTTTTGATCATCATTATCCTTTTGGACATGATTACTGTGCTTTGTAAAGATAGATAAGGAAAGTTTTTATATTTCAAAAGCAGAAAAAGAGAGAAAGACATGAATGTTATTGGATTTCCTCCTTTTTTTTTTTTTCCGGTTTTGCAGTGCAATTGTAATATTTCTATTAGAGAGTAACGACACAAAGTTTATTGTGCTAATTTACATGCCAAATAGATTAATTCATTGAGTTTTTTTTCTTTTTTTTTTAAAAATAATTAATTCCTCAACTCACTCGTTCCTATAATTATATTAATTTTTAAACTTAATTAATAAAAATAGACTTCATTATCATTCAAATATTTTATACATATAATAGACTTCATTATAGCACATATAAGATAACTCTTAATAAGAAATTTGCTTAAAAGTTCAAAACTTTTAACAACCCAAATCATTTCCCCTCTTGGGTGGTCCTAAACTTGGTCTCTTACCCTCATTCAAACTGTGGTAGCTAGTGCTATAGGTGTTTCTTAATTACTAATTAATTAAAACCTTAATTTAATCCAATCAAACTTTATTTCAATTGTATTTAAACTTAAGCATAGCACAGGGTAATTAATGTAATAAAACATATCCATAAAAATATAGAAACCAAGTTAAAGAGCAAACTCCTAGGCTTCTTAAATTATCAACTTGAGAAAGGAAACTCTTGTCTTGGTGAAGAATTTAAAGACAAAAACAATGTTTGTCATCTTTTAAAATTATTGTATGTTTTCACCCATGAAAAGAAAAATCTTATGAGACATTCTTCCATGAGTTTTTCTTTCTTTTGGCAAAACCTTCTCATACATGAGTACATGATACTAAATGTTTTGCCGTACGAAGATAAATACTTTTACCTTAAATGTAAGTATATATTATTGGAATTATTAACCATTCTATTAAATTTTTGGGGGTACCAGGAGGTTTTTAGCAGAGGAGGAAAATTAAAAAAAAAAAAAGTTTTAAAAAGGATGAGGATGAGGATGAGGATGAGATGGTGGAAGATGGCATAACTTGGGTGTTAAAATTGGGTGTTGTAATGGAAAAGCAAAAGAGTGATCAGATCAGATCTGTGGCATCAAATAATGATTACCAAAAATTTCAGAAAAGAAAAAAAAAGATGAGGCACAAATCATTTCCTTTTTGTTTCAGCCATAACATGATTATACTCTTGTGATGTACACTTCATTTTCTTACCGTAATAATAATAATAACTTTGATATTGAAACATAATTTTGTTTATATTTTTGACTTAATTAATTCTGACTGTTTGGACATTAATCAACGAAGATTTCTTAATTAATAAGAAGAAGAAGAAGAAGAAGAAGAAGAAGAAGAAGAAGAAGAGGAAGAACACATGCCTACCGCTTTGCTTTTTTACATTTTTATTCCACTCATTATTTTTCATTTCATAGCTATGATAAAACCATGTTTTTTACTGTCATTATAGTGATTTAAAATTTATATTCTTTTTATCGCTTTCAACATTTTTGCAGGAGAGACGGTGCTGCTGAGCTACCTTTAGTTAATATATATACATATATATATGTATATACATGGATTACGAGATTTTCTTGGGAAAAAGAAAAGGAAAATAAAAAAGGGTAATGGTTTTTGTAATTACATGTAAATTCCAGATCCAAAAGCTGGAATTAAAGGGTCACATGCTCTCTAAAAATCTACCCCTCTCTTCCTCTTCTTCTTCGTCTGCTCTGTGTCCAGTTCAGTTCAACCATGAAAGTACCGCCATTACTCCTCTTTATCTTCTTCTTCCTCTCGACTGCCACTGGGAGCAACACGACGCTGGACCCCAAACAGCTGAGAGCTCTCCAATCACTCGACATTCCAACCTCCAAGGATCCCTGCACACATACCAACACTTCCACCTCCTCCCTCCTCTGCGACTCCTCCTCTCCATTCCGCCATCTTCTCTCCCTTTCCCTCTCCAACTGCTCATCTGATCTCTCTCTTTCCTTCACAGCTCTCAAATCTCTCGCTTCTCTCCAATCCCTCCACTTCCTCTCCTGTCCTCTACTCCCTCCTCCCCGCTTTCCTTCTGACCTCTCTCTCTCTCTCCTCTCCTTCTCCGCCGTCCGCTCTTTCCGCCATCTCTCCGGCGTCTTCCTCTCCCGCTTCGTTAACCTCACCGACCTCACCGTCTCCTACGTTCCCGTCAACACCTCCGGCCTCTTTGTCATCCTTGGGAACATGCACAAGCTCACTTCTCTCACCATCTCCCATGCTTCCCTCTCAGGATTCATACCCAAACACCTCCATCTCAATCTCACTCACATCGATTTGTCCGACAACAAGCTCAGAGGAAGAATACCTACTTCGCTTACTGTGCTCGACGACCTTCAATTTTTGAATCTCTCGCACAATGCGCTCTCCGGCGAGATACCTTCCCAGTTCGGCGACTTGATCTCGCTAACAAACCTCTCTCTCGCCTCCAATTCCTTCTCTGGATCGGTTCCAGATTCTATATCGGCCATTCCCGGCTTGGTTCATGTCGATCTGAGCGGGAATCAATTCAACGGAACGGTACCCAAGTTTTTCACGGAGGTGAGGAGCTTAAAGCACTTGAATCTGGAGAACAACGAGTTCCATGGGGTTCTGCCCTTCAATGCCAGTTTCATAAGGCGACTGGCTGTGTTCAAAGTCGGAGGAAATGGAAATTTGTGTTATAACCACTCGGTTTTATCATCGAAACTGAAATTAGGAATTGCTCCGTGCGATAAACACGGTTTCCCACTGTCGCCGCCGCCGGCGAAGGAGTCAGGAGACGACAGCGAGAGTGATGCGTCAGATTATGATGATTCTGAAGACGATTCATCAAGCAGGAAAGAAGAACATCACCACGGACCAAATAAGGTAGTTCTTGGGGTGGCAATTGGGCTTTCGTCTATTGTGTTTCTCATCGTTTTCCTGGTTCTTCTGTCAAAATGGTGTGGGTGAAATTGAAACTGGAAGAAATAGTAAAGTTTCTGGAGTTTCAGGTGATTAGGGTTTTAGATTATTGGTAGATTAGGGTTTTATTTAATTTGATTTATTATTATAAAATCATCACACGAAATTGATTATGGATTATGAATTTGAATTATGATGGTGAAGAGAATAGTGGCAGAGGGAAATCTAAACAAAAAGAAGGAGAGAAAAATAGTGAATGGCTGATTGGCTGTGTCATTTTTATTCTTTTAATTTTCTTGCCGGTGGATTTCCATTTTTATTAGTTGTAGTCACGGATATATATATATATATATATATATGAGTCTGTACAAGTATGTAATATTATTTCCTTTTTTAACACTCTTATTTATTCATTTTATAAACCCTAGCTTTTAAGTCAGTTTGATTTGTTTTGGCCCCTTCTGTTTTTTTCCATTTAAAGTTTTTAATGCTATGTTGTGGAGTAAGTTTTGTGACTGATTTCAGGTAGAATATGATGTAAGTTTTATTTAATTTTGCACACAATTTATTTTTATTTAGATATTCAAAAATATACAATTTTAATTTCCCAATCCGAGTAGAAAAATATATGTATTATAAAAAACTAATATCTATATATAAATTAATATATATTTTTTTTTATGTATGTATTTATACAGCAGGTCAAGTAGGATTTAGGTATACAACAACTCCCAACTACCCATCTTTAGAAACTTGACTAAAAACTCAAATTTCAAATAAAGGCACCTATTGGGGGGATGAGACGGGGCCACAAAGCAAAGATAATACGCTCAAGTTGCAGATTGAATTCAAAATATCCTGTCTAACTCACTCTGCACTAAAAATTATGAAAGATGTTTTTTTAATATATGACAATGCAAACCAAACTGTAAAAAAAAAAAAAAAAAAAGGTCATGACATTTGGACTAGAATGTCCTTCAATTCGATATGAAACCTTACGTACCTCGGCAGCATTACTATTTTATATATTCGTGCCACCAACTTCTCTGAGTCAAAACCACCAAAGAGACGACTTGGTCATGGTCATAACACAAGACCGTGCACATTTGTACCAGTAGCCAAGGCAAAACAAAAGGGTGTTATTAACAATGGACTGATGACATCAATTGATATCCTTCCCTCGCAATTTCATGGAATGATCTGACAGCATCCATCATCAGCTACGCATTCTGGAGCATATCCTCTGATCATCCAACTCCATGACACACAACACTTCTCTCGCTGCCAAAGACAAGCTTTTACTGTAAAACCATGAGTCATAACACAATTATCATAACCCACAAGGAAAATGATAATCATAGCACAAAAACAACATTCATGCCCACAAACAGGATTTGCTTCAAGATCCACCTCGCTCAGTCCATTTATCAAACAACTTATCTGCACTCGTATCTTTCCGTCCTTGGAGTGCAAAGCAGTCAGAGAATTTACCACCCAATTGTAGCCGCCAGAACCCGATTTTGAGAAGCATCCGTGTTCCTGTTCTCCTGTATTTACACTTCTGTACAGCTGCCAAATACTTAAAGATACGAGAGAAGGTAAGATAACCGGGTTAAGTGTCCATCATACACACTCTACCTCTATGTACTCGTTTATCGCGAGATTCCAAAGAAGTACTTTTACCTTCATGGTTCTATTTAAAAACTCACCTCGCTTCTCTTAAATCTCCACAATTCACCTACATAAACACAAGTTTTGTTCCTAATAAAGCTCTATCCATTACAACCAAATTAGCACAAATGAATGGATGAACTTCTTTCTGCGTCTTCCAATGAATTACTAGCGGCCAGTTGCCCAACCAATTTCGAATTTTTCAGACGGGTAAAGAAACTCCATAACGTTCCCAAGATTACCCACTTCACAGAACTTGCAGATTTGGGCCTGCAATCGTAATCTACGATTCTATGACCAACAGTTTTCAGTGAGGTGGATATGGTAAAGATTAACCAAACAAGAATGGATCTTGAGAATGGTTTATCGCAGATAAACTCAGTTAAAATTTCAAAAATCTCTCTATGTGGTTTTGGTTACGGTTAGAAGCAAAGAAACAGAGGCTATATTGAGCATTTGGCATGGAAATCATCATGATTCGTCCTGTTTAACTCCTGGAAAAAGCGGGAAACTTTGAAACAGATAAACTAAAAATGGCCATATTAGATTTTTCACGGCTGAACTGATGCGGCTTTTAGCACGTGGGTGCACGCGCTGACGAAAGACGTGGGACACCCATTTCTAGTGTTCTCGCTTTAATATTGTGCGCGTGTGAAAATAGAACACGGTTTACACCATCTTACGTAGGCGATGGTAGGAATCTTGTGAATCTAATCAATATCCGTTTGGTTTGTCAGAATCCCAAAATTTTCCTGCGAAAATTAAATTATGGGTGCTCTCCTTCATTTTCCTCCTTGTTTCTCTTTCAACAAGCAGCCCAAGTTACGATGGGGAGAACCCACTTTCCTTCTCAGAGGTAATACAGTTTTCTGGTCAAATTTGTTTATGCTTACTGCTTAACGAGAATTGCAGTTAGTGGGGATGGATATAACTGAATCCTCCTATACTTTGAGGTTCTAGTTTTTTGTATGATGAGATTCGTTTTCGTTTATGATCTGGTTTGATTCTGCTTAGTATCATATCTATAGTCCAGGGATACTAAGATGCAAAAGGGTTTGGTTTAATTGCTAATCAAACATTATTAACTATGATCTAGTTGTGTATATCGATAAGATTTTTTTGGTAATTAAATGTTAAAAATAATAAATTAAGAACTGAACCAAATAGGCTTTCTTTTCATATATATATATATATATATATATATTATTGTAATTGGATGGTTAAAGATTAGGCATCCAACTAAACCTGACTTAAACTTAGAGAAGAGAGCGGGTTACCTCATTCTGTAAGTATAGATCTAATGGTCTTTCAATGGTTCTGTTACAAAACCAAGTTTCAACTCCTTCAAACTGGAAAATTTTCTCGCACATTCTGTTTCATGGCTTTATTGCTTTGTCCTGCGTAATATTTAAAATATGTTGTTGAATGATGCTAGTTTAAGTGGATTTTGTGTTTTGCTGATAATGTGGGACTTGACTTTGAATCCAACTCATTCAATTGCACCTTGGTTTCTGGAACTATTGGTAGGAATGTTCTTGCAGATGACAATAACATACTAGCTAGTTATATAATCCATGGCAAATAACTTTTTTACAACCACCACTGCAGACCTGTTTATTGTTTCGGGCTACCAACATGGGACCCAGGGAAAGCATAAATCAGAGGCAGAAGCAGCTTAACCTAAAGAAAAAGAGAAGTCAGCTCTAGTTTCTAAGTTGGTTTCTACTTAAACTCTAGTTTAATCGGATATATTGATGGAATTGATATTAGAGCTCCTCTTGGCTTAATGTTTTACTTTTTCATTAATTTAGAACGCTAGAGATAGGGAGTTGGTTAACTCGTAGACAGATCTGTTACTCGAGTTCTAACAACGGGAACATAAGAAATTAGCACTGGGCCAGGAGGTAATTTGGGACTTCCAAAAATTCCATCGATAGTTCATAATCTTTTTAAAGACTTACCAGAAGGATTTTGTTCCTGTCGATGAGAGGCAAAAGGAAATGATTGCACAGAATGATTTCCTCTCTCAAGAGCTCTCTGTGACTGAGGCAGTAGGAGATGCAGTTGCACCAGTTGTGATGATGAGAAACCTGAATAAACTTATTAACTAAGAAAGTATAGCTTTTATTTCATGTCTATATTTTGTTTATTATTTTTCTTTCTGTATTAATCCTCATGACAGGCCTTCTCATCACATGGTAAGTGTACTCTTAAACATCAGGATATGAATATATTGTTGGCAGACATGAAACTGTGCAAACTAGAGACTGAAGAATCATTTTTTGATGCAGCTTATTCAATTTGACAGAGATTGCAGATGGGTGTTCTACTCTTCCCTCTCGCAAGGCTGCTTCATTTCAGTTTACTGTTTCTAGCAGAAGATCTGATGGAAACAGAAGAGGCAACCCTTCACAAAAAAATCCTGCCTCAGAAAGAAAAAATGAGGGTCAGAATAAGAAACCATCCGAGAATAAAATAACCAGTTCATCCAACCAAGAGGAGATAATTGCTCTGTTCAATCGTATACAGTCTTCAATTTCGAAGAAAGAGCCAACAAGCAGTAAGGAAATAAATCCAAAGCCATCCGAGAAAAAGCCCTCAGCTGATTCAGTTTTGGATCTTCTTCATCAGTTCAGGAAGGGAATACCTGGTAATGTAGTTTGCTGTCCAATTATAATTGCTAAGCATTCCATATTTACAACTTCGGATAGACTAAGTTATTAGCTTTCAACTATGCTCTTATATCTCATTCAGGACCAAAAGAAAACTGCTGGGCTCTTCTATCTCCTTCTTGGCCGTTCCTTTTTTCTCCTTATAAATTTTTAGAGCTTTGCTTGATATTTTTTTTAGCTTTGCAGACACAATGACAGAGAAGGCAAGGGAGAATAAATTGAAATGGAGAAGAGCAGTTGCTAAGGAGCAGAAGATACTGAACAAGGAAACAGCTGTTGATTTCAGATTGTTTCGACCGCCATCTAACTTTGTAAAGAGGTCTCCGATTCCATCTCCATCAGTCCCAAGAGGAAAGATTCTTGAGATGAAGAAAGAACCTAAAGAGGATGCAGCTGCAATTGAGAAATTGAAGCTTCCTGAGTTAAAACAAATAGCCAAGTCTAGAGGAATCAAAGGTTACTCCAGATTGAAGAAGAGTGAGCTTGTGAAGCTTCTGAGCTCATAGTCAGCAGAATTTTAGTGGCTTTTCTACTTCGATTAAACATGGCTCTACAATTCTTTTTCTGCTCTATCCCACTGAAGCACCTTTTGTTGCTCTGTTTAACCACTAAGAATGGCTCTAAATCATGGATGCTAGTGCAGTAAAAGAACTGAGTACCCAACTTTCTGCATTGTAGGATTTTCTTTTGTGCATTGGCTAATTGCATATGCTTACGACTCTAGTCTCTTGTTCTATCAGCATTTGCCCCATGAACCTCACCTAGTTGCCAGCATATCCTTTTAAAAATCGACACAAGATTTCATGTCATGGAAATTTTTTAATCAAAATTTCTTTAACTTTTTATAATATTTGAAAGCATGGACAAACAATATAATACATCAAACCAAGATTCATATACATCATAAGATGGATACAGTAACCTGATCTTCTATATGCCTATCATAAGTCTTCTTTCTTATTGCAGATCCATTCGCCCAGGAATTCAGCATGTTAGTTTGTGTGTACTCACACGAATCTATAGTGTTCATGTATTCAGTTAACATTGTTTTAGTAGTCTCTCTTTCAAGAATATTGTGGTTAAATATCGATTATTGTTCAAAAAAACCAACATCAAAGGTAGGTAGGTGACTTGTTAAACGCTTGAAAATAGGTTTAAAATTGTTGAAAGTTGAGATTTTTCTAGACACTCTGTTTCTGTCTTACATTTTTTTCATTTTCTATATGAATGATTGTCCTTTTTGGGATTATGATTTTGTAAAGGTTATTTCAGATACTATCGTAGTTCAGCTACTCCCACGTTTTGTACTGCTGTCAACAGTTATGATATGTATATATTTTGCCAAATGGAAACGTATGTTCAATTATGACATAACGCATTCTTTGTAAGAGTTTCTTCATTATCTTCTTCTTATTTCTCTTTTTTTTTTTTTTTTATCTTTTGTCTTTTCAGTGTTTGAAAATCCATCAAATGATATCAGAGCTCTCTTCTTGAGGGACTTATAAGTTAAAGGAAATTAACGTTGAAGTGCTCGTAAGGTGAGTAATCAAACACCACAAGAACAAGAAGGATGGCGTCTACCAGCTCTATGGGGACTGGTCCTCCTGTTTTTAGAAGGGAAAATTATTGCATCTAGACTATTAAAATGAAGATATATTTTGGAATTTAGAGTTTGTGGGATGTAGGACAGAATGATATAGAACCACTAGAAATCACAGCCATTCTGACGTTGGGCTCAGATGAAGAAACATGAAGAGGATTTTGCAAGAAAACTTAAAGCACTAATTTGCATATGTTCAACCTTATCAGATGTTATTTTCACCAAAATCAAGAAGTGTGAAACACCCAAGGAGACATGGGACAAGTTGAAGGCTGAATTTGAAGACAGTGAGAGAGTAAAGGCCGTCAAACTCTTGACCCTTAAAAGAGAGTTTGAACTGTTTAAGGATGAAGGATGATGAAAACGTGGAGTACTCCTCAAAGTTCCTGGAATTTGTGAATAAAATAAGATCGTGGGATAAGAGTGTAATGATCAAAAGATTGGCAATTGAAGAATCGTATGATCTAAAAGGCCTCTCCGTTGCTGAACTTATTAGCAAACTGCAGACACAAGAACAAAGGACCATCATGAAGGATGAAGCTGTATTAGAGGAAGCCATTCAATAAGGCAGAAATAGAATCCACCTGAAAGACTGGAAGAAACAAAGAGCTGAAAGAGTTGGGAAAGGGAAGATTATTGGCAGTTCAATTGATGCTGGTAAAAATGGAAAATTTTCAGTGTGCAACTTCTGTCAAAGGGATAATCATCAAGAAAATGATTGTAGGCATAAAGAGAAGAATTCCATTCAACGCGGGTGTTGCACGAAGTTTAGTGTGAAAAATTGCAGAATAAAGAAGAATGTAGCCCAAACTCAACCACAACAATAAGTCAATTTCACTGATGAACAAGAAGATGATGATTGTGATAAGCTGTTCATGACTTTCAGTTTGATGGATAAAGAAAGAATCAAAGTTCAAGTTAAATGGTAATATGAGTTCAGGTAGCTTACTGCAGATCAAAGGAACACGTTTCAAAACTCTCAGAGTTCCAGTAGGAGTATTCAAGAAAAATCTTAAGGAGAAGTGTTTAAGTGGTGAAGAATTTTCTAGATACTCTATATTTGTGTCTTATTTTTTAAAAAAATTCTATATAAATGGTTGTTCCTTATTTTTTTATTATGATTTTGTGAAGGTTACTTCCATATCTTGTAGTAGTCAAACTGCTCTCATGTTTTCTGCTACTGCCAACAGTGCTAATATATATCATGTGACCAATTGAACTTGATTACCGTAGCAGCCGATTGAAGAGTGACAGGCAAAAACCTCACAAGCCCATTATATGGTAGAGATGAATCTTCATCATATAATAGTAACTCTTCTTTTCCTCACAAGCACTAATTCTACTCGCATATGCTAATCAAGAGATAAATCTTTTATCATATAACAGAAATCATAAACAGCGCTTCAGATTCAAGCAACTCATCGGGAAATCTCTTCAAGGAAATTGTAACAACCCAGTAGTAGAAACCATCCAAAAGGCAAAGAGACAACAAACTAGTAACAAAAAAGGTAAGAAAAACAACTCTCTAAGAGCCAGCAATTGTTTGGGACTTGTTTAGGATGACACCTTCATACTTGACCTGGAACCACTTCATTGCATCTTCCTTGGTAACTCTGTGCTGAATTCCAACACGAGACTTGCAACGGCGGCGGCGACCTACACGGTATCCTGGGCGTTCCAGCACCACATAGAAATCCATACCATAGATACCAGTTGAAGGGTCATACCTATAAAAGAAAAATGAAACCCAAATACTTAGTTTTACAATATGTCTCATTACTAATGGTCCAAGCTCGGAATATAATGAGATTTATTACTAGTCCATAATCTAGAAGTGCAAGCCAAAAAAACCAGGAAAAGAAAAGGTTCTTTTAACTCAATACATATGTTAAAACCAAGTGAAATTGGAAGCACGTCAGAAGAGAAGACACACTACAATAATCAGATATGTTTTGTGAACTTAATTTTTAGCATTATATAGCTGCAGGTGGGGAACTTGAACCCATGCCTGTAACAAAGATATAGATACATTACCAGAACTTCAATAAAAAAGTTTTTCATAAAAAAAGTCCTCTAGGCTCTCCTAGCATCAAGTACAACCCAAACTTCAAGGTCTCACTGCTCAAATCATGATGAATAACTAGAATTATTACACAAGGTTATGCAAGCAGTTTGAGCACAATGGCAATTAAATTAATTCCTAATTGTTTAATCCATTTAACTTGTTGATTTTAAAAGCATTTCTTATTAATAAAAACTAAAGAGTATAATGGCCAGAGACTTTAATTCAACTTGGAAAGCAATCATAACACCCACTAGGGTCCCTAACACATTTTGCTCTCTTAACCTCCTTAAACAGCCCAAGTGCTTCGAACAAGGAAAGCTCTTCAAATCCTCAAATTCACTTATGAAATAGTTTCCAGTCTTAAACCTTTCTTCTATTCATTCTCTTCAACTATTGAATAAAAGAACTTCTTTTAAGCATACACCATTGAAGACAAATGCACAAGTGCGTTATGATCAACACGACAATTCACAAATCAGTAATCACAGAACGCCCCATCTAAAACTAAAGGGCAGTTCAAATAATGAAAGGTTCAAAGAAAATTGAATATACTTTACTACATGATCACAACGAAAACAGAAACAACCAAAATACTGCTAAAATAACTATAAAAATTTTTTTTAGAAAACTAACTCACTTGATACCCAGATCAATGTGCTCCTGAATACCAAACCCGAAGCAGCCAGTGTCACTAAAGTTCCTTCTTAACAACTCGTACTCCTTCACCTTCAAACCACTCTCCAAAAGCTGCATCGCTTTCTCTCCCCTCACCGTCACGTAGCAAGCAATCTTCTCATTACGCCTGATCCCAAAAGACCTAACAGTGTACCTCGCTACAGGCACCAATATTCAATAAGTATCAAATAAATATAACAGAATAAAAGAAGAAGCCCAAAACACAAATCAGATAAGTAAAAGGAGAAATGGATCAATCTTGTTCTTAGTAGCATACCCTTGGAGAAAACTGGAGTTTGGCCACTTAGTTGTTCCAAGACCTATCAGTTGAAGAATAAACGATGAATGAGAAAGGAGGTTTTTGCACGTAACTACCAAATTTTAATTTCTGTTTCATTTTCTCCAGAAAGAAACAGACCTTTGCCGCACGAGTGAGACGATCCCCGCTCTCACCGACGGAGATATTGAGTACAAGCTTCTGCACCTTTATCTCCCTCATTGGGTTTGAAAGCTTCTTCTCTGACGCCTGATATCAATAACAATGACAATAAAAGGGATCAGTGATACCTAAACATACGCTTATCAAATATATACATTTGCTGCTTAAACAAAATCTTAAAGGAAACAAAGAGAGAGGACAGACCATTGCAGTTTCCCCCCGGTGCAGGACTACGAAGAAGAAATCAGAAGAAGTGAGATGGAGCGGCGACTGCGGGGCGGGCGATGGCGGAATTGAAGTAAATATACAAAGGGAGTTCTAGGGTTTTAAAGAAGACATGCGCAATGACGAAACTGCCCTTATAAGACCAAAAAAAAGAGGAACATGGATGATTATTGATTATTTTTTTTATTTTTTTCAAATAAAATATTAAACTTATTAATTTATGTTAAATTTATAAAAATCCTTCGAAATATAGATTTTCCTAATTTTTAAAATTTAACCAAAAAGTCTTTATTTTTTAAAATATTATATATTTTTATCCACAATTGACAAGTTAATTTGTTAATTTTAACTGAAAGAAAAAATAATTTGTAACGACCCCGGAAATGTGAAAATGAAATGAGTATTTAAACACATAAAATGCGGAAGCGAGATCAAAATTTCAGTTAACATCCCTTACACGAAAACCCAAAAACGTACTTAAAATATAAAAGATTAAACTAACTAAAAGAGAAACTCGAAAATAAAACTATAAGTATGACTACAGAGTCTCTAGGCATCCCATTCGTCGTCCTCCTGCGGAACGGGCTCGGGAACCATGTCTTCCTGATCTGAAATGGTTAAATAAGGAGTGAGCTACACTAGCCCAGTAAGAACATCACGATATCTCACCGTCACGGAGGTAAAAGTGGGTAGAAAAAACACAAAAGACCAATGGAGCATGATTTACAACAAATCCTTTTATTTATGATAAAACCTTTACCATCCACTTACCTCGGTGGAATTCATGAAACCATATAAGAAAAAAAAATAACATTATCACAATCATGGAATAATATAAGCTGTAAAACATAGCACTTATCACGCCTTTTGTAATTCAATCATTATACAACATATCCTTTTCTCATTTACCAGCCTACTAGTATCCATGGGGGTCCATAGGGGTCCCGCTACCCGTTAACCTTTAACATTCATAATCAGTTTCCAGGGCCGTCCCCATACCCCGTCCGGTATGGGCGCCAAAACCATAAACCTCAATACCCCGTCCGGTATGAGGGTGAAACGGGCCGTCCCCATACCCCGTCCGGTATGGGTGCCAAAACTATAAACCTCAATACCCCGTCCGGTATGAGGGTGAAACGGGTCGTCCCCATACCCCGTCCGGTATGGGTGCCCAAAACCATAAACCTCAATACCCCGTTCGGTATGAGGGTGAAACGGGCCGTCCCCATACCCCGTCCGGTATGGGTGCCAAAACACATAAGATCTCCATACCCCGTCCGGCATGTGAGACCACAATCCCGGTAGGGTTCCCTACGGACCCGGTCCGTCCACCATCTCCCAGGATATCTAGTCAGGCTGACCCCATCATACAATTATCAGTCTACACAATCTTTCATTTTCGTCTTCCTCAGTAAGCATTATCAATTCACATTTTAAACAAGCAAATCGTAATTCATGCCAAACAGACAACATACGGTATCAGTTTTTCAGTCATTCAACCCATAACCAATAAAAACGTAATATATGCACACGAAACTATAAAATAAACACATCAAACCTCATACTGCATTTAAAGCTGTAAAACAGGCCAAATAACAGAAAATCATCAATCACACTAGACTCGGGCTCCATTAGCAACCTTAAGCAATTTCACACATTCGTTAATTCAAGAAATACCGTTTTATCATTTTGAACTTTAATACCGTGATAGGAAATAGGGTGAGGGGTCCTTACTTGTTTTCGGGATCCGAATACGATTCACAGTGCGCCTACAGGCCGTCCCTAATTTTCCCTGAATTTTTTCCGGGGGACTGAAACACACTAACGGTACCTGCACGTGTTCTAAAAAATCTCAAATTAGGCTCAGGGCCCCTTTTTGGCCAATATTGCAACTCCGGCACGGCGGCGATTCGCCTTGATTTGGCCGTTTTTGGCCGTTTCCTGCCAAATTCAGCCACACTTACATCGATCCTTGCGATTAAACAACCCTAGGGCCCTCGGGGGGCCAAAAAATTACGAAAAACCGAAGCTTACCGGCGGCGGTGCTCTCGGGTGCGGCGGCTCTCCGGTGAAGTTCGTGTTTTGGTGATTCGGCTCCGATCAACCTGTAGAGAAAAGAATGGTGATCACGGTGATATAAAAATTGCATTAAACGGAGGCCGGGAAGGGCCTCATCGGAGGCAAAAACTGAGGAGGGGCGCGGCGGCGCCGCTGGGTTTCGGCCATGTTTTCCGGCCGTTTGGCCAGGATTTTGGCTCCATTTGGCCACAGGAAAAATCAGCGTGGAAAAACGAGTCGGGGGTATGAAATTACCGCGATCGGCGGTCGGAAATCTCTCTGGTGCGGCGGCAGGTGGCGGCGGCCGGCTTTTGGTTCGTCTTCTCCGGCGAGGGCAGGCGGCTAGGGTTTTGTGGTCTGGTGTGCAGGTTCTATTTATACCCTTTTGCCTTTTGATCTCAACCGTCCATTTTGATTTAATCTGGGCCGTCCGATCGCGCATACGCGGATCGCCAACGTGGCCCGTCCCGGATCAACGTGGTCTTGCCACGTGGCAGGTCCCGGTAGGCCGGGACTGCTGACTGGGTCTGCTGACGTGGCCTTTTTTTTTTTTCTTCTTCAATTTCCCGGGCGCTACACATTTCCTTGCAAATGTAACTGCAGCACCCCAAAGAGATACACTATGTCGGATGAACCCACTATTCTGTAATTTTTTTATCTGTATCCTCAGTTCTTTCATCTTTACACAATTCATACGGTAAAGGACAACTGAGATAAGGTGGGTGCCGGGCTGAAGATTTATGGTAAATTTAACTTCTCTATTCACTGGTAGTTCGGGTAGTTCATCAAGAAATACATCCATAAATTCTCGAACCACATGGATATCTTGAATGCAAATTTCTTTCTTAGATTTGCCTAATGTAGAAAGGAACAATAGAGTTAAAGCGTACTATAAACAATACAATTGTCATGAGGGAATAATATCTAAAAATTTTATTAATTTGTAAATGACTCTTTATTAAAAAGATTGAATACAAGCTTCTTATGAAAACAATCTATGGTGGCGTAATACGCTGCTAAACAGTTCATCTCCAAAATTACATCAAATTTCTCTGTGTCTATTTCTATCAGGTCTAATGTAATACCCTTAATTAATTTTAATGTAATTAAAATTAATGTATAAATATAATTTTTTAATTTTTATTTAATGTAAAAATGAAGAAAAATAGGTGGAGGATGAAATTGAAAATAATTTTGGAAAAAATGAGTGAAAATTTGAGTATTCGAAGTGTTTTTTTAAAAAAAATTAGAAACTGGGGGGTCAAAATATAATTTGATAAAATTGTGCCACATAGGATGCCCAACAAGCAGCTCTGACGAACCGGAGCGTGCTGTATGATAAAACACGCTGACACGGTGCCACGCAGGATTCCACGCTGGCGATCTACGTGCCCGCGATCAGATGATCCAGATTTGTTCCTGCGTGCATGGACAGTCACAATTAAACGCGATGAACGACCCACATTCACTCTCTATTTAAACGTGATCGGACGACCTAGATCAAATCGCAATGAATGGTGCAGATTCACTTCATATTTAAATGCGATCGGATGGTTCAAATCAAACGCAATGAATGGCTCAAATTAAAAGGAGATGGATATAAATACTCTTCTTCACACCAAACCCGAACCCTAGCTGTCAGACCCCTCTGCCAGAGAAGAAAGCCAGTCGCCGGAAAGGGAGTCGACCGCCGCCTACCGCCGTACCGGAGCCGCCCCCGACTGCTAAAAGAGGTAAAAAAATTTCCATTTGCTCGAAATTCAGAACACCTCCATGGCCAAATCGGAAAAAAAAAATTTGCAGATGAGGCAAAAACTGAGGGCAAAGCCCTACGGTGCTGCCGCGGGAAAAATAAAAAATCGCCTTCAATGAGGCCCTTTCTGATTCCCGTTTCGTGTAATTTTTTCACCATTGTAATCACCATTCCTTTTTCTATAGGTTGATCGAAGCAAAACACCCAACCGCGAAGGTGAGCCGGCAGAGCCGCCGCACCAGAGAACCCGGACGCCGGTAAGCTTCGGGTTTTTGACTTTTTTCGACCAACTGAGGTCCCTTAACGTGTTTTCTCACAAGAATTGGTACAAAACTAGCCGAATTTGGCAAAAAATAGCCAAAAATAGCTGACCCGAGGCAAACCACCGCCATGAGAGGCGGTCCCATCGCCAGAGCACGGGGGCTGAAATTCTGGAATTGGCCAAAAAGAATTCCTAACACTAATTTTGAATTTTTTGGGGTATTTTTAGGTACTTGAAGTGCGTTTTAATCCCCAAAAGAAAATTCATGGAACCTAAGGACTGCCAGTAGGCGCAGTTAAAAGGTAGCATTTTGGACATCAATTTGAGTAAGAATCCATCACCTTATTCCCTGTTATAGAATTGAAATTTAATTTTAAATAATATAGTATTTTGTGAAACTTAAAAAATATTCATAATTAATTACAAGTTACTAATGTAGCCGGAATCGGTTATTTATTGTTGTTTGAATTGTTTAACTGATTGCCTGATTTTACAGTTTTTTGAATGCATGATAATATGCTGGAATTGATATGATGATGCGATTGTGTTCCTTGATGCATACATTGCTCGTTTTATGTAATTATGGTTAAATTGAAAATTAGAAATTAAAGGTAAACGAAAAATTATTTAATTAAGTAGATGGATGAACGACAACCTTACTGGATATCTTGAGAGATGGTGGATGAATCGAGTACATAGGAAACCTTACCGTGAATGTTACCTCGTACCAGACGGGATATCGATGATTAGTAATTTGGCACTCATACCGGACGAGGTATGGAGACGGTCCGTTTCACCCTAATACCGGACAGGATATTGAGGGATGGTATCTTTTTACGCTCATATCGGACGGGGTATGGGGATGATCCGTTAATTCAAAAAGTTAAAAAACAGTTCACGCGTAGTGGGGACATCCCTATAGACCCCCATGGATACCAGTAGGCTGATAAAAAAGAAGGTTGTTGTTCCGA